GATAGATAGATAGATAGATAGATAGATAGATAGATAGATAGATAGATAGATAGATAGATGATAGATAGATATATTTAGAGAGAGAGGGAGAGAGATAGAGAATTTGTTAGCAAGAGGGAGAGAGAGAAAGAGAGAGAGAGAGAGAGAGAGAGAGAGATGATAGATGGATATTTTGTTAGCAATAGAGAGATAGAGATAGATGATAGAGAGAGAGAGATGACAGATAGATAATAGAATGATAGAGAGACAATAGAGATGATTAATAGATTATAGATAGATAATAGACTGATATAGATGAGAGATGAGAGAGAGAAAGAGAAAGAGAAAGAAAACAGAAAGAGAAAAAATAAGAAAGAAATAAGAAAAAAAATAAATAAATTTAAGAAAATAATAAATGAAATAAATAAATAAATTCTGGGAAGAATTTTGTGAAATTTAAACCAGACTCTTTCACCCAGAACAGCCTGGGAGCCTTTGGCAAGCAGCCCATCAGGGTGAGCCCCCCCCTGAAGGGTCCAAAATCCAGACAGAAGCTAGGCTGACCCAAGTTCATCTGTTTTGTGGCCACTAAGCCTCGGAGGAGGACATTGTTAGCTTGTTGCTCTCTGCTGAGCAATCCTATGATTAATGATGCTTTATTGCCCCTGTCTCTTCCTGTCTGTTTTCCTTTCTCACCATGTCCTGCAGATGATTCCAGCTTATTGCGATCTACCTCTATGGCCACTGGACTGAACATAATGAAGCGTCAGAAAGTGAAGACCATCTTCCCGCACACCGCTGGAAATAACGAGACTCTCCTCAGTTTCGCCCAGGGCGACCTTATCACGCTGCTGGTGTCGGAGGAAAGAGACGGCTGGCTGTACGGAGAACACGACGTCACAAAAGTGTATGTCAGGGCTTCCCAAACTTTTTCGTTCCTTACCCCAAACCACTTCTCAGCAAATCTTATCCACTCATAACCAGTGGTGAGATTCAAATCATTTAACAACCGGTTCGCCCCGGGTCAGGTTGGCCGTTGTGGGAGGCGTGGCCCATCCCCGTTCCCCAGCTCCGCTGCACCAGTGGTGGGTTGCAGGCGGTACGGCCCAGTACGGGCATACCGGAGCCTGCCCAGAGAACTTGGTACCGTTCTGGTATGGTGCTCAGGAGGGCCCACTCGCCTGCCCGAGCTCCTTACTGTTCTTTTAAGTCTTCGGTGCTTCTGTGTACGGCACATACAGCACCTGTGCAACACTCCGCTGAGCAGCTGGGAACAGGCTCCAGCTGTTCTTCTGCCTCACTGATGTCTGACTCTGAAGGCAGCTGATAACTGGCATGCGCCACTGGCCCCCTCACTGCATCCGACACAGAGCCCTCATCAGAGCCTTCCCCAG